TGTTCAAAGGCATCAATTCTCCTTCTATCCTCCTTGGTCACTGTCCAACTCTCTGATGCATAACAAGTGATTGCGAAGACCATGGCCTGTATCAAAAGCACCTTAGTCTCCAGAGAGACACCATTGCTCTTCAGTACTTTGGAAAGGTCCCTAACAGCAGACTTTCCAGGGTTTAGAACAATAAAATTAAAACCAAATTTCAATGGAAGGACTATTCTGAATTCTCTGAACAACTGAGAAAAATGACATCTCCAATTCAAAACAAATTTATATACTTTCATATAGATAAAGGTGTTGAATATTGTTGTTGCTGTTGATTGCCTTTGAGTCAAACACAACTCATAGTGACCCTATGAACAAAAGGCCTGAAGCCCCTCTACAACTATTGACATTTATCAAAGTTTATAGTTTCCAAAGACATGTTTTTTTAGGAAGTACATGCCACTCCTGCTTCCAAGAATACTGGGTATCAAAATAATTAAATTTTTATTTACAAAAATAACAAAAAGAATAATACTTTGAAATTATAACAATTTTGAAAAAAATAGTATACCAAAATCTTAAACACAATTTAACATATCTCATTCATGTTGTCACTTCCTTAATAAATTTTAACACAGCACCTAATACGGATAGTATACTTCTGTATTGCCTAGAAACATCAAAATATGCTCTTGCTACAAACCTGTAATCTTTTTCTAGACTTTTTTCCCATTATTCAATTGTGTAGAATTTAACCACATGAAGATTTATTCAACAGTTAACCAATAATATGTTTGAAAGAATGAACTGAGAGTGTTTCTTATATTTGCTTCAGTGAAGTTTATAAAAAAACAGTGAGAAAATGTTTAATTATGACTAACACATAGTCTATCTTGGAGAGGATGAAATCAAGTTGCTCATTGGAGGCAAGGATTTTGAAGCTCCACCTTATATACTTTGGGCACATGGCCAGGAGGGATCAGTCCATGGAGAAAGATATCATGCTTGGGAGGGTGAAGGGACAGCTCAGAAGAGGAAGACTCCAGATGAGATGGATTGATATAGTAACTGGGGTGATGGGATTAGATGTGTCACAGTCAGTGAACCTGGTTCAGTACAGGGCAGGTTTCAGAGCTGTGGTACATAGGGTGGCTATGATTCACAGGCAACTTCATGGCACATAATAACAACAACTATCCTCTAATATCCCTTGATTATAAAAAATTTCTCCCCATGTGGTAAGGACAAAATGATGTCTCAGTACAGATATTATTGCAAGGACTGATCTCTCTCACATTGTAAAATACTGACACTATCACTGGAAAATGGACTGACTGTTGCCTGTATTGTTGTTGTTGTTATGTGCCATCGAGTCACTTGCGACTCATAGTGACCCTATGTACAACAGCCCTAAACCCTGCTCTATCCTGTGCCGATTGCACTGTCTCTGACACTCCCATCCTGATTATGCCAGTCACTGAATCAATCTACCTCATAGAGGGCCTTCCCTTTCTGCGCTGGCCCTCCACCGTCCCAAGCATGATGTCCTTCTCCAAGGACCGGTCTCTTCTCACAACATGTCCAAAGTTTGTTAGACGGAGCCTCAGAATCCTTGCCTCCAAGGAGCCACCCGGTTTAACCCTTTTCAGGATGAATCTGTTTGTTTTCCTAGCAGTCCATGGTACTCTCAATACTCTTC